GTGGGCCACACTTGTAATCCCAGCACTTGGGAGGTGGAGGCAGAAGGATCACAAGTTCAATATCACCCCATTTTGCTGCATAGCAAGTTCAAGACCAGCCTGGGTGTAATTAAGGCTCCATTTTGGGAAACAAAAACAAAAAAAAACAAACAAAAAACTCAAAAGTCTAATGTAAAATTTGTAAGTGCCGGGACTCTAAATATCTCATTATTATTATTAGATAGTTAACTTTATATATTAAAAAAAAATACAAATCTCAAATGAGGTTTCAGGGACTGAGCAGATGATTCAGACTGTAAAATACTTGTGCATAAGCCTAATAATCTGACTTCAGATCACCAGCATCCTTGTAAAAGCCAGGCTTGACTGTGCATTTCTGTAATACCAGCACTGGAAGGGCAGAGACAGGTGGATTCCTGGAGCTCACTGGCCAACCAGCCTAGCCAATCAGTGAGCTCCAGATTCAGTGAGGACCCACTATGATAAAGAGTGAAGACATCTAACATGGTCAACCTTTGGCCTCCACACAAAAGAATACATGCATGCACCCTCACACATACATGCACACACAACAGGCGCACACATACGAGATTGTGTGCACACACACATTCATACATAAATAGATTCAGATCATGAAAGTGAGTTTAAATTTTTAGAGATGTGCCTCAATGGTAGTGTGTGATTAGCATGACCAAAGCCCTGGGTTTATACCCAAACACCAAGAATAATGAAAATCAATTTTTAATAGAATCTGAGGGCAAATTTTGCTCAGATTTCTAAAAGCACAAATTTTTTGAAACCCTAAGGAGCATACCTATTTATCCTAAAGTTAATGTCTGTTTTGAGAGCATGAATTTCTATGATCCTTTTGCTGTTTCATTTTAAACTCTCCAGAGGGGAGGGAATAGTTTTTGTGTGTGTGTGTGCGGGGGGGAGTCTTTTTGAGACAGGGTCTCCCTGTAGCCCCAGCTGTCCTGGAGCTCACTATGTAGACCAGGCTGGCCTTGAACTCCCAGAGATCTGCCTGCCTCTGCCTCCCAAGTGCTGGGATTAAAGGCGTGCACCACCTTATGATCTCAAGAGGGTTAGGAGGGTTAGGCTTGAGCTGTCCACTGTCACTCTTCCATGGACTGTTGACTCTTGATCAGAAATTCAGACCAGAGCTCTGGATCTAAAAGCAGATGTCCAAGGTGACTGACCCGGGGCTGTGGATGGACACATATTTCTGTTATCCACCAGGGTTTCTAAGCTCCCTGGGGATGGGATGGCTTTGCAACCTCAGTCTCCTCAGTGGGTGTTAGACCCTTACAAAATTATTTCGTGTGGCTCAGATAAATGGAAGTCTGCAACCTTTCCTCTGGTTGCAGCTGTTTTCCTTCAATTAGTTTCCTTTACAATCTGCTTAATTCTGTGTTCCTTAATAATTTTTCTGTTCTGGCAATTTGTGAATTCTAAATGATATTTTGATAATGTCCAACTAGATTCTGAATACTTGTTACACACTTTATTTATAAACTTAATACCACAAAAAAATCACTGTAGTATATTTGACTGAAATAATTAATTTGGGGGTGCCAGCCTGAGTATAAATTATTTTCAGAGTGTATGTAAATGAGTTAATTGCTCTATAGAATTATTAGCCTTAAACCATTTGTGTGCCAGGAAATGCTAATCACCATGTCATCTTTGAATCTTGAAAACTAAATCAGATGCCGTTGCTTCTCTTGGTTCCTAACAATAAAACAGTTCAGAGTATAGCAATGACTTGTGGCTCTTTGGCTTTTCTTTTCATGGTAAGCTATTAGTGACTCACCAAAGGACACACAACTCCTTTGATCACCCAGAAGTTATGTTCAGATCCATCAGAAATGCATTCTACTAATCTTGATTTGGAAGAGGGAGGGAGAAAGAGGAAAGAGAAAAAGTGAAAGAGAAGGAAGAATGGGGGAAATGAACGGGCGAAGTGAAGGAGAGAAGGGAGAATTCTGTATCGTTCCAAACATTTCACAATGTAAAATGGACAGTGAAAGATGGTCAAAACAGAGCAGTTGCTACCAAATCCTTTCTGCTCCTCTGTAGGCTCAAGAGCTCAATTTATCCCAGAAGAAATTGTTGACTCAGAAAACCTGTCTTGTGGGCTGATAAATCTATAAATGTAAATCTATAGTGTATTGGGGGTTTTTTATGAATAGTCTACTACTCCAGATCCAAGCAGATGGAAGCAAATTCTGCTCAAGAATGCAGGAAGCACACAGAGAAGTTACGCAGTCATGGAGTTTTCAAGTCATGTATAAGGAGTGGGGGAGATCGGAGACAGCCATGTCAGAGCATATTCGGACTCAGGGAGAGCAAGAAACATGGTTTAAAAACTATTCCAGAAACTATTGCAGCTTTTGGAACAGTGGTTGTCGCCTTGGGCTAGCTTTCCACCTAACTCTGGCTCCATCTTTCTATTATTGGTATATGAGGCTGCAGAATGAAAGTCTCTGGCTGGTAAGAGCCATCTGGTGCCGCTCAAATGACCTGGAGACCCATCTTCAATGCTGGACATACATGTCCACCTGCAGTTGTTAGTCTTGCATATTTTCCTGGCCAAGAGAATTCTATGAAAGTTTTTATTAGCTATGGTCTTCAGGTATTTGTCAAATATTATTCATTTTAAGGTTTTGGTGGTGGCCTTAAAGTATTGTTACAAAGCAGTTCACATGGGAGTAGGATGAGGTAGCCTGCTGTCATTACATTACTACAGACTATTCTGAGCATTTTTACTGGAATATAGGACCCAAACTCAAGGACAAGCCTTAGAAATTAAGTTTTGACTGAATAAATAGTAAGAGCTCCAGAGAAATTCACCTCTCTACAGGGCCCAAGGCCACATTTTAAGGGGGCATTGGAGTAGACAGAATGATGGAGCTCCCAGGGCTGACATTGGAGTCTCTAGTCTTATCTTCATCCTAGAAGTATGTATTTACATTCCATCAGGAGGAACCCAAAGTCCTTCCCAAAATGCATTTGTTAAAATTAAGAAGATTTCTCCTCCATCTCCAAGGTATAGGAGGATAGCTGTCCTTTTGCTCTATTATCATCCAGATTTATATTTTCAAGCTCCTTCACCTCAGTGCAGAACAACTGTGATAGCTAGATCACAGGGTCTCATCCTGCAAGAGGAAATTGGGACATGTGGAACCGGGTAGCACTTTGCTATAAGTAAAAAATAATATGCACTCTTCTAGAATTGTTTGCATTGTATTTGCATTGAGGATAATATTAATAAATTGAGATGGAGATATTTTAGAGTCATCTCATGCTCTGTTAAAATACAGATTCCATATCAACTTCTTTCCTCTTAATCCTGAGTGGCCAAGATTTGAATCTAACAACTGCACCCGATGCTTCTTATCAGTCTTATTTCAGAAATGCTGCACTGGTCCACGGGTAAGGAATAAAAAATACTTCTTCTAAGGATCAAGGCCTCTGCAAATATACTTTCTAGGCTGTTACTATATGCTACTTTCTTGTGGGAATAAGTAGATTTAAGAGTACAAGATTTTCTTTTTAGTTTAAGCTTTAGGATGACGTTGAGAATTGACCTAATCTCTGGTTAGTCTTTATTATCCTTGTGAATACACACACTCAGAAACACACAAACACACACACACACCACACACAAACACTTTTTTTAAAGATACTATAAGATCATCAGATCTTCTAGAATTTTATGTGACCAACAGCAATTTTATTTGCCCAGGCTGCTGGTGTCAGTGTTTTACCAAAACTTTACAGATGTCTCCATTTTTAAAAATTATTCTTATAATTCCTTTGCATCTATATAACTGTCTCCAAGATGACTGAATGTTAATTGTAGCTGTATTTGTCTCTTACAGTAGTACTTAGAAATGAGCCAGAATTTTTGGTCTTATTCTATTTATATCAATTTGAACTATATTTCAAAATATGCTTGAAATGAGATGTGAGGAGAGTGAAATTCCCTAAGACGTGGGACAGAAATTAGCTATAGTACTCAGAAACTTTTAACTGAAAGAGATTCTCTGTTACCATGATATCAACAGCTTCCAGATGATGGGTTTCCATCCAGTGTCCTTTGGATATATTGAGGCCGACCTCTTCTTCTTTGGCTCCTGGCAAATATTTTTACTTAACCAAAAGATCAAAAGATAAATACAAATATGGAAGTATCTGCATTAAGTGAAAAAAAACCTCTGTTTTTATAGTGTGCTCCTTAAATTCTTTTGAGTCTTTTAAATATTGCTAACCTGGACTTTTATACTCAGAGTTTTCATAGCAATTTTACATATGTTATCCTATTTATTTTGTGACAGGTACATATGAGATACATAAAAATATCCTCTTTACAGATGGGGACAGAGGGGCTACAAAAAAGCCTGAGGCTACACGCTGGGGAATTGATTCAGCTTCCAAGTGGCCCATGAGGACTGGAGGTCCTGTGCTCCTTCTGTAAAAAGATATTAAGACTATGATGAAAAACCAATAAACTGCACGTCCTGTTTAAAGTATCACGAGCTCTGAAATTTCCAAGTCACTTAAATCTATCAAAGCCATAGATGCTGGGACCATGAAGCCAGAGGTAGGCAGGGAGGATGCTGGTCATGAGCTAGTGTGACTTGCTGTGATGTGTCACCTGACAAGGTACAAGCTGTGATGGCTGACTGAGCACAGTCTCTGAAAGGCTGCAGCATCTCTGATTTTAATTCATCCATGTATGCTTATTTAGGCACAGTTAATAAAAATCTCACCATGAAAATAGCAATTCAAAACCATGTGTTATCATAGATTCCATTTAAATGCAAAGAGGTGAGTATTAAGATTGATGCTGTTGCTCCAAGTGTGGCGTTTTTACTCTCCTGAGTAGAATAGTTTCTCACACAGTTCTAACTATATTGAGGATCCCTTAGGAATTGGTTTCAACAAAGCCCTTTGCCCTGCCTGTGCCTAACATGCCCATTCTTTTCACATCACAGGATCTTCAGAGGCAGGCTGGAGAACTGGAAAGCCAAGCCACCCTCAGCAGCCCAGGCCTCCACTCGCTCTCCATGCATGCCTTTCTCATGGTTTAATGAAAGCCGAAAAGGATCCTATTCCTTCGGGAACCTGCCTTCACCTTCAACTCCCCTTCAGCCTTCTACTGGGACTCTAATTTCAGATAAAACGGGGTCCAAGGTAGACAAAAGTGGACTTAAAAAGCAAACAAGAAAGCCCCCAGTCCTATCTCTTCTTCAGTTTTTCGAAGGCCTTCTCAGCCTGCGTGTACCCTGGAACTGAGGAACCAATGTGCTAACACTGCATAGACCATGCATGGGTGTTTCCTGTGTGGGGAGAAAAAGCCTCACCTAACTGGCACCTGCTTTAATACTGTTCCCTTCTATAGTGGGCACTGCTCTTCATTCTCCGTCTTTTCACGTACTGCTTTTTAATCTTGGTTTGACGGTAAAGCCATGCTGGGAAAGATGCATTTGAATCATGAAATGGTGTGATAGGTCTGTTTACTAAGTATTCCACTTTAAATTGCATTGCCAAACTATTTTTCTGTGCTCCTCAAGATTTACTGGAAAACAGATAAATTTGGGATTAAACATGTGATCAATACATTTAAATGAAACTCTAAAAAAAAAACAGTTCTGACATAGGACTGTACCTATTTCTTCTTTTCATATCAAATGTCCATGTGGAGCAGCTGTTCTAATTCTGCCACCAAAGTTCTTTTAGCAAAATTATGAGTTCTATGCATCGGTGTGGCTTGTTTCAAAATGCATGATGGTTATTTCCAGCATGACACTGCAAACCTTATCTAACATTGTGTGGAAACACATATGGTGGCTAACATTCCTGTGTTTACTCATCTTTCCCAAACAGAAACGTGATTAATCTTACTTGTACTTAAGTCTTTCCTTAAGGTCAACAGCTTAAAGGGTTTCGACTGAGGGAAGAGGGGGTTGTGTCTCCATTAATAATACCAAATGGTGATGTTTTGTACATGATGCCCTACTGCCTATATGGTCTAAGAGCCTCATTCCTTGGGCTCTGGTTAATATTCTGTTTCTGAAGTTTTATCAAACCTTAGAGTTCATATGTTACCAAACTCTGTAGCCTCAAAATGTGGTATTTATTCTCAAAAACCAACTAAGCCTGATACAGAAGAATCAAATGGAAAACTGACAGTCTAATTCCTAGAGAAATGGAGTTTAAAACAAGATAGTGCTGGTTAGGTGTGTAGAGTTCCTAGGAATCCAACCTTTCAACAAGTAGCAAAAGAAGTTTTGGAAGCAGTAGACTCTTTTGGTCTTTTAGTGTTGGTCTGAGACTTTTAAATATTGCTTAGTGATTCTATCATTATCTCACACTAAAGAGAAGTTTCTTATGAAATGTTTTCACAAATGAAGCCCTGTGGCCATTGTCAAGGTGTTTTAACATCTGAACATGTTAGAGTAGTTCTAGGGAATTTACCTTTACAAATTCCACCTCCCTACCCCCAAGAGGTTGTGTAGACTTGTAGGTCTGTTCCATACCACAGCTTCTCTGGCCAAATGCTGGTGCTGTGAGAGTTACAGTCTAACGTGTAACTAGTGGTGTGTTGTCAGACCATGCCTTCCTCCAGAACTCATCACTGTGAAGGGTACATCCAGGAGGGGACCTGTCACTTCTCACAGTATTTATCACAGCCAGCCACACACCATCTTTCCCAGGGGCACTCCGGCTACCTTCCTGATATGAATTGCCATCTGTTCCTGATAACTCAGCCTCTCCACACCATTTTGTGGTCCTGCTTACACTGTTACTCATCACAATTAGGGTCAAAGCAGATGGGCTTATTAATATTACTCCTCTGAGCAGTTGCAGAGGATAATGAATTCTGTACCCTTGGAGAGAAACTGAAGAATTATTTCTCTACAACACCAATCCTTTCATCAGACAGAGAAAGTGTCCAGAATTTCCAATCAATCTCAAAAGATGCAGCATCTTTCACCACTGCTCAGTTGAAAGTCATCACCAAACCAAGCATGAGTATAATTGCCTAAAATGAACCTGTTGAGAACCTGGAAGCACAGCTACCTCTGCTCATTCGGTGTGTTCATTTAACACTGAGTTTTCTTTGTTTTTACAGAATTTTACCTTCAATGATGACTTCAGTCCCAGCAGTACCAGCTCCGCAGACCTGAGTGGCTTAGGAGCAGAACCCAAAACGCCAGGGCTCTCTCAGTCCTTAGCACTGTCATCAGATGAGGTACTGTCATGGCACTGACAACTCTGCTTTTCCATGTCAGTCATGTTATTTATAATCATTGTTGGAAGATATTTTAGGGTAGATTTTGCATAGGAATCAGCAGGACTGTGGTTTTGTGATTTACACGAAGTCTTCATGATTTAACTCCTTTGTTCTCAACATTAAAGTATAGTTTCTGAGCCCCTTTAAGCTTTAGGGGATCCTTTTTCATGTGAGGCAGCATTGCAGAGCAAAATTAGGTGAAGAGTTTGGATCACAGGAAAGTTGTGTATTATCATTCCTTCTCTCTCTACCCAGAGTCACCCCTCTTCCCAGATTCTGACAGGCTTCTGACTGTGCTGTGGCTCCTGACTGAATCATTGCAGTCAGTAGACACAGTTCTGAAAGGAAAGGAAATAGGGTAGGAACTATTTAGACAGTAATAGGGTGGCTTTAGAAGGTAAAGATTAGCATTGCTAAAAATCAGTAGGAGACAAGCATGCACAAGAGAAGCAGAAAACTATGTTGGGATTGACTTAGTTCTCAAAAGGGATGGGAGTGCAAAGCCGGAAGTAATATAATTAAATTTTTCCCCTTATTTAAAAAAACGCTTGTTCTCATTTCTTTCTACCATGATCTTTGTGTGATAAAATTTCTTTTCCTTTTAAACTTTCCTGCCCATATTCTTCAAGCGGGGTATGGTTTAAATAGATTAAAGCGGTGCAGTGAATGTTGTTTGTCCCATGTCTGTAACACTTTTCTTCTTGATTCTTTTGTTGCTACTCCCCCAGAGCCTGGATATGATAGATGACGAGGTGAGCTACTGGCGGGTTGTGTGTGATGCCTTGTCCTGTCTGAACCTGCTTTTCTCTCCTTACGAATGACTTAGAACGCTTTCCTCTGGAGTAGAGGAAAAGGCTCTGCCCTTGTCTACATGTTACTTACAAGATGTTTCCGAGTCAAGAGGATCTAAGTCCCATCCCCAGAGTCCCTCCATTTATCTCCCATAGCCATTACCTGGCATGGTCTGTTCCTTTCCATCTCCTTTGCCTTCATCTCCGCTCACCCCACCCCACTCCTCTGTTCTTCGTGTGGATCGCCAGGTCACACCTATCTTTCCTCTGAGACCTATCTTTTTTCGTCTCCTCTCAGCTTAGTGGTCACAGGAGTCACCTGCCCCTTTGCACTGTTCAGGGGAATCTTCTAGAGTGAATAGAATCTGAAGATTGGAATCACCACTTCCTATTAAGCTCTACCTCTTACTATTGTGTTGTCTAAGAGATCATGTAAACTTTCTGAGCCTCAGCTTCCTCATGTCTTAAAAAGTAACTGTGGCTATTATTGGCCTGCCTGCCTCACAACTTTGCTCCCTGCTTCTGTGGTAATGATTGTGAAATTACCCCTAAGCAGGCTTGAAAGCTTTAAGCCTTTCCTCTTCCAAGTGGAAGGCACTTTAATATTTTAGTGTGTTTTTGTGTAACTCTAGTATCATCTAAGAGAATAAATGCAAAGTGATGCATTGCATATGGAGATTTATGAAATACTTGTTTTGTATCTGATAATATTTCCAGAGTATTTTCATGTAGAATCTTAAATATCAGCATGCATTTTTATATTAAACTTCCAATGTCAATAATGGTGCTTTATTTGAGGATTTTTAAAAAATTTTTCATATACTAAAATCATGTAGATAATAGTTATGCTTCTTTGATAGAGAGGCATAGCATTTTTGTCATTTAACAACACTGCGTAACATTCCTGTCTCAGATTCTTGATGATGGACAGTCTCCCAAACACAGTCAGTATCAGAATCGGGCCGTTCATGAATGGAGTGTGCAGCAAGTTTCTCACTGGCTAATGGGCCTAAATCTGGAGCAGTATGTGTCTGAATTCAGTGCCCAGAACATCACTGGGGAGCAGCTCCTGCAGTTGGATGGAAATAAACTTAAGGTAAAGAATTCTGTGTCTGTGTTAGGTTACCAGGTATAATTTATATTACTTATAGCATCTGACATGATTTCATTAGGTAGAGTATTCTGCATATCTGTGTGGTAATTTTTGTCAACAGTCAGCAGAAAATATGCTGAATTATTTCTCAGAAGGAAATGAAGCTTCAGGAAATCTGTCAGAGTTTTGACTCATGACAGGCTGCTGACTAGGAGAGCTAGGGACCCTTTCCTTTTCTTCACCTGGCAACACATGGCCCAGATGTTAACTGAATCACTTCCCATATCATTTGAGTTTTAATAATGACCAAGGTAGACATTTCCTCACGTTTGAGTTAAGACCTAGATCTACAAATCTTCCTTTCTTTATTCATTTCTCCTCCATGCTCCCTCTTTCTTACCCACTACTTCAAAACTGAAATGTTATCTCCAGAATGTTCTTCCGCAAATATGTGCAAGCCATCTCTCCCACCCCACCTCCACTGCACCTTCATTTCCACTCATCCAGCCCATCTCTCTTTGAGACTGAGGTGGCACCCACCCCTGTGGAAAAAGGGCAAGAGAAGCATACAGCTAGTTCCATGCAGCCCTCCACACTGCTTAGCCCCCTGCTAGGCTGATGGATAGATGAGCATCTCTTGACAGTCTTGAAAAGGTTAGAGATCAATCAATAGCTTGTGAATATGAAGGCCCCATTGACAAGGCTGTCCCTGTTGGGGAGATGGATGCATCCTGCTGTTGATGCTGAAGGTCATGGAACATTTAAAGTACACAACCAGCTTCCCTGATTCTGAATTCTAAGCTCATCCAGAAACCTTGTCATTATAACCAGGCTTCCTTTATAGGCCTGCCTTTGGGGAAACAATGACTAGAGAAATGCTGACATGGGCAGCTTGGCCCTAAAGACGTTTTTGGTTCTCATTGTGAATAACTACATTGGAGAAAGAATGTCCATTTCATTTGGCCCTGCCATTCTTCGAGTCCTCTCTGGCAGCAGGTGCTCACCCCTACCCTTTGGAGATACTGATGAGTTTAGCAATACTTTAACCAAAGTTTGAAGAAGCAAAATCATGCCCTTTGTATTTATTCGCTCATTAGTTACCAATTTGGAAAACATTTTCTTAATGACTTCTAGGGTGTACTTTGCAAAGAACTTCGAAGAACAAGAAAGCAAACAAAGTGCAGATCTTCCGTGCACACAGAACTGAGCCAGTGTAATCTGTGTTTCCGCAGTCCTGACCTGTCCTTTATGTTTAACTTTGGTCAATATTGTGATATTTCCCTCATCATAAGCAAAGAGATGCTCAGCTTTTCAGTTTGTACATGTGTTTCCTTTGTAGGCTCTTGGGATGACATCATCCCAGGACCGTGCATTGGTCAAAAAAAAACTGAAGGAAATGAAGATGTCTCTAGAGAAGGCTCGGAAGGCCCAAGAGAAAATGGAAAAACAAAGAGAGAAGCTGAGGAGGAAGGAACAAGAGCACATGCAGAGGAAGTCCAAAAAGTCTGAGAAGATGACATCCACCACAGAGAGTGCCAGTGAGCAGTAATGCCCCAAGGCTGGACTTGAGGGAAGCCCCCGCCTCTTCCTTCCCCCTTCTCCAGAGGATGAAGAAGAAAGTGACCATGGGTTTAATGCCACTGTAGGCAGTTTGACAAATTGTGTGTTGAATGACTGCAATAATAGAACGCACTCTTAATTTTAACCTCCCCAAATAACCCCAAGCCACGTATGGTTTGTTAACAGACCAGGAATCTAGTTTGTGAGAGATGTAAAGTAGCTGTGTTTCTCTCTTCTACTTACCAACATCCTGTGTTGTGTTGGATGTGGTGTCACTTGGAGAAACATCCTGACCCTGCCAGTGAGAGCATGACACCTCCTGGTGTTGAGTGGAGTACCGAAATTTTCAGTGGGAGACCCTGACACTGAGATTGTGCCCATCTGTGTGCAGAGCACCTGCCTTGAGATGAGGGAGTTGCAGTGGCTCCTGAGGCTGCAGAGTCTAATGAAGTGTGAGAAAGGCTCCCCTTCATTCTGACTGTACAGGATGGCAGCCCCAGTGTGGAAATGTGAGTCCTCAGTACATAATTACCTACTGAGGGAAAGAACAAGCCTGCTGTTCTGCTTCCTGGGAGGGAGGGAGGGAGAGAGAGAGAGAGAGAGAAAGAGAGAGAGAGAGAACACAGAGAAACAGAGAAACACAGAGAGAAAATAGTAGTTCTTTGTTAACTATAGAAGAAATCAAAAATCAAAAGCCTTAAGACCACTGATGTGGATGTACCTTGGGGTTTGGAGGATAACAGTTTTCCTCCAGTTACTGCTAAACAGAGAAGAAAAAGTCAGACCTTAATACAACTGTGGGATGTTGGGATCTGCTGTGTACTTTGCCACAACCGTGTGTTCAGTGTTTCAGCGACACTGACAGACACAACACAGCTCCTTTTTCCCCCCAACAAATTGAACAGGAAATGGATTTTTAAGGAAACCAACATTTTCAGGTTTCCTCTCCTGGGAAAACTCTGGCTTGATCTTCAGCCTGCCTATGACACAATAAGGAACTTGTCGCATATTTTCTACTCCAAGTTTCCCAAAAACACTTTTAAAAACTGAAAACTAGAAATACCAGTCAGAGAAAATTTAGAGTTGAGTAACAATCAACCAGGGAACCTTTTTTTTTTTTTTTTTTTTTTTTTTTTTTAGCACACAGAGGTTCCCATAAAGGAGAGTTGTCAGTCAGTTTCATTTTTAACGGCTTTTTTGAACCATTCTCTTCCATATAGAGACTATAGAGACTTCCAGATCTGTTTAAGGTAATTGAGATAGACTTTAGCAGTGGAACAACTGACACTTTAAAGCCAGTATTAAGAATTTCAGTATTTCACCAACCTAAGTTGAGTGCAGGAGACCAGGGCAGAGGGAGGAGATACTAAACTCATCTTGAGAAACTTCAGATGATGAGGGTTTTTATTTGTTTGCTTGCCTTTTGTTTTGCTTCTTATGCTTATTCATCTAACTCTCATTGCTGCTTTGGCCCTAAAAATGAGGTCATCTACTTTCTGATGGACACATTTCAAAGTAAGACTGGAGGCCAAAAGAATTCTTAGACAAATACTTTACTTCCTTAACTCTACTAAGTCCTTGCTCTATTCCCAGCTCTGTCTATATCTCCCCTGAGAGCGTTCTGTATGAAGAGCTTGAGCCCAGCTCCTGAGCTATTACAGGTATCAGCTTGTGTAAGGGTCCCCTGCCCATGTAGCCTCACCTTGTGTTTTTGACATCATGACTGTTAAAATTTTTTAATTTTTTTTTAAACATACAAATTCTGAAATTACCTGAACTAGAAACCCACAATCCTGTTCTTTCTCCAAGGCCCGCTTCCTTTTCTGGGCCAGAGCACTGTCTCTTATGTTTCAGACCTTTTGTTACTAGGTACAGATGATTCATTCAGTCCTTAAGTGTTGACATGGGAGCAGCATGGTGCTTTACAGTGACCAGAACCACCTGATGCTTTTTGTTTGTGTGGGATACTAGATGGCTGTTAATGTCTTTGGATGCCTGGCTTTGCCATATATTAATATCATGAGAAATCAAGAGTCACGCTCTACAAAATTCAGAAAATTAATACTAATACTAGAAGACTAAGGTAGCAAAAATCTGGTAATTCTAATGGTTGCTCTTGTAAATTTTGCCATTTTTGCTTTTCCTTGGTACAAAAAGCACACCTACTCTGGATCACACTGGAAGCTTCACTGTGTTCATTTTAAGAGAGGAACTAGAGGGGTGCCTATTTTAAGTTATGTTTACACTTTGGTAATATTTGAAGATGAATGTATATATTGGAAATGTCTATAAGTGTATCTCTGTTCATAACTTATGATCTATTATATTGCATTTCTTAAATATATTGTTCCTCATTATAACTTTATTAACACTAAAGTGGTTAGATCTGTATCTGACAATGTTAAAAATCAAGTTTTTAAAACATTTAGTTTATATTTTAATAGTTTTGATTTTTTTAAGTTAAATTATAGTAAAAAATGAATTCTTTTAACATTGCTACTTAAAAACTGGTCAAATGGTAAAAGGGCTCTTGTTTGTGCAACAAAAGATAAAATATAAACTGATTGATGCAAGTATAAAAACAAAGTGAAAGACCTCAGATCTTAGGAGCATTTTGTTTTCCTGTTATTTTCTTTATTGACTGTGGTGCATGATAGTAATTGCATTTCCAGTGTCTTGCACAATTCCTACTTAATAACTAGTAGTTTTCAGGGTCTATACTATTTAACACAAAACTATCGCCTCATGGACTGTAAAGACTTCGCAGGGTTTTTTTATTATCAAAAAATAAACAAAAAGGGAATGACTGCTTACTATGAATTATAGCCTAGTAAAGGATAATTCAGTAGGACCACATCAGTAGCCAAAAGTGTTCTGGGGTATAGGTAGTGTTTGCAAGTGGAAGTGCATGATAAAGCTAAGTCATAAGCAGAGAACATTATGGGAGTCAGATCTGGGTCAAGGTTTCCACTAAATAACTTTGTTTGGAATTAAGACCATCTTACAGTGACTCAGAGTTATGTAATCATTTCTCACCACCACCACCCTTTGATCTAGAGGTGTTCTGTTAGAACAAAATCCACACTACATCCGTGTTAGTGCTCTGAAGTCCACCTTTGCTATCATAACAGCAAAGTTCTTCTGTGGCAATCTGTCATTCTTTAGCTGGAATTGACATGGACTTTCCACCCTCCACCTCACACAGGCTCTTAAAATATCACAATAGTTCATGATTATAGTATGATAGGAGCTAATGCCAAACTCAGCTTCCTACAGGCACACAACATGCCTACCTTATGTTCTTTTGCTTGGGGAAATAAAGTGGCAAAGAAGTGAGGGCTCTGACACTGTCTGTGCCTATAGTGTTTATCCTAAGATCATGAAATATGCTAGGCCTAAACCACTCTCCCCAGGTTATCAGATCTAGCAACCGGGCCCTGGTGGCTCTTGCTGGCAGCAAAGAATTCTTATCTAGGTTCTTTGTGCAATGGATTGACTTGTGCTTGAAAGTTATATTTTATAAGAGGTAAACAAATTATATCTATATAGCTATTCTAAGTCACATATAAACATGAAAGGGTTAGATAAATTAAGTTCAAGAAGGATCATCAAGATGTTTCACAAGAGTATTAAAGAAGATTCTGGAGGAGAAAGTCCCAACCATTCTAAAAAAAGCACCTATACCTTTAGTGTGTTTTGCTCTCTCATACACTTGAAATATTTAAGAACTACCAATTCCATTTGAGTAACTAAGGGGATTTCCTACAGCAGTGAAGATGAGAAGCTATTCACTTTGAGTGACAGGAGTCAGTAGGTTTCCCATCTCTTATGCCAACACCTAGTGTTCCCTGAATGAAAGATAATCAGGAAATGACAACCTAGAGTTTACGTGTTTTCTAATTTACCTTTAGTCAAGGATCTACCTATGTATAGTTCAAAAGGTGAGCTTGTAAAGATGAGGCCCAGAAGTAAAATGTCTATGCTTTCTTGCAAAATTGTTCTCATTGTGATGGGTTAACGGGAAGCAGACAATCTTAAAAGAAAGCAGTTACAAGAAATCTGCTTCAATGATCCATTCCTGAAAGCATGACTGAGTGTGTTGGCAGATTTTGTTTGCATTTATCTTGAGTGTTTAAAGTCCCAGAAAATTTAGTCTTGATCCAAAACACTGGGGAAAAATAACACCAAACCAAACACATTTTAATAACTTAAAGGAGCAGCATAGAAGAAACTAGACCGAGAAGCTTGAGTGAAAGGGAAAAGCCACACAGCCAACTGTGCCTGGAAAGTGACACCCAGTCCCTTCATGGGAGGCCAAGGGTCCTCATCTGATTGTGCATAGGTGTCTGTGTGGATATGTTGAGAGAGTACATATGGTTCCCATGTGTAAGCATCTGGACTTATTTCTGTATCCTCAGAATAGAAAGCAAAAGAAGCATGATGCTTCCCAATCCTTGACCCTCCCCAGCCCCAGACCACGAAGGGTTCAGCAGTGTGTAAGACATAAAGAGAAAGAGAACAAGAGACAACTCTCAATAACATGCATGCCACTGTGTAGACGTTCAGAACTACCTATGTGAATATATCTCCCACCTTACACACACACATACATGCACAACCACATGGCATAGAAATACACTGTATGTGGAATACGGCGATATTAGTTAGGACCCTGGGCCGTAGTCATAGCCCTGTTGCCACTTTTGTGTTGTGTACACATTGAATGGCTCATAGATTTTAAGAGATTTTCTTCAATGTAAGTATTCCTACTAAATGCACTTATGCTTCTCAATGTTTATATATTTTGGTAACATTGATTTATTAGATCTTTGGTATTGTATTTTAGTTAGATAAATTTTCCTCAAATGTTTGATTAATGCTTTGATGTCAAGATTGTACATTTTTTTAGTTAGAACTCAGAAAGTATTATACAGCTCTGGGCATTTTCAGCTGCAGACTGTGGTGTTCTCAGCTAAAAATTGCACTGTGTTCTCGTGTACAAACTTTCACTTCTCAAATGAGACCACCTTAGTGCCATGCTCACGTCCCTAACCGCTGGCTATCTGACTGGCATTGCTGTCACATGACCTTCCACTTCATACATCAGCAGCTTGTAATGGCATTTTTAGATGTCACCAAAAATAACACAAGTGGTGATAAGTGCATGTTGTTGGAAGGTGTATGCTTCCAAACTTTCACCTGTTTTATGTACACACCCAAGATTCTGTTAAACATTTAATCATTTATTCATGAAAGAACAATTGGCCAGAAATACTTAAAATTATCTTTTTTAAAAAACGGGAAGAGACTCTCAAACTAGATAACACCTTCCAACAACATCAAGTTCAGTTAGTACTTAAATGAAATTCCTTAAATAGTCACATGTATGCTCTCCTCGATATTATTTAACATCATGACTGCGGACTTTGTATGTTTTAATGATGTTGCGATAAAGCCACTCATCCACCTGCTATGGATCCCTGACAAGACTGGGCAGCTGAAAAATACAAGGAGAAGAAAATCCTATTCTGCTGTAAGAACTTGATTTACTTTCATCTTTCCTTATACATCACTAAAGGAAAAGAATTTGAAAATCATTTTGAATCTGATAAGTATGGGTAGCATGTTACCTGAAACTTTTCATTTGTACATTTTGATGTCTTGATCTTTTGCATGGAAGAGACAACAGTGCCACGTCCGAATTGTTCTCTTGTGCTTGGTTTGTACGTATTGTTTCCTTACTCTTTGGTTTTCAGAGACATCAAAGCAAAATATAACAGTGGCCCATTGTATTCTGACCAATCTAAAAAATCCTTGTGATTAAATTTCATTTGTCAGTGTAAATAACTTTCTTGCCAATAAGTATTATTGTTGTTAGATAACGAATGCAATAAAAAGAAATACAGAGATCTGTCGAGTACATGTTTCTTTTTCCTCTTCCACTGCCACCTTCAACTAAAACAAGCCTTGATGGGGTAAACCCGCATTAACTGCCAAAACATAGCTATCCATCAAGAGTAAAGTGCACATTTTTCATGGAAATGATACTAAAAATAAGTTTTAACTCTGGTAAAGTGTAAATTGGCAGCTAGAATTACATTTGAAAGCACAATTACAGAACTGGGCATGAGGTTAAAGAACAAGGCCTCCAGTTGGAGCTCACTCACCCATCTCTTCCCCTGTCCCTCGGTTGTTGCTTCCCCATCAGAGTTCCAATACCCAGCAGCCAGAGAAGGTTGTGGGGGGGTGGGTAAGTCCATCAAGCAGTCAGCCTCTCACAGTAGGAGGCCAGCTGAGAAGGAATCAGGCCCAGCCCAGAGCACAGGGTTATTTTAGGTCTTTTCAGTTCCAAGACGGTCAAGACTCAGAAAGCTTGGATAGAACAAATGAATATTCTTTCTCCAGCTTCACAGAATAAGTGAAGTGGACCTGTTTTCCTCCTTCTGAGGCAGGCTGTTAAAAATCTCTTATGAAGGTCTGCCCCTTTTTGGATGATCTTAAAGATATGCCATGGGAAACTGGACAGCTTCTTTTCATCCTTTTTCTTTTCTCTTTTTGATAGAATCAGCTTGTTCCATCAATAACAAGAAAGAACAGGATATGGCCATTTTACCAAAGGTGTCATGAAAGCTAGCCATTCAAGAGATTCTTTTTAAAAGAAGTAGGTGAAGTGTTTTTGTTGTTGTTGATTTTTTTGTTTTGTTTTGTTTTACTAAGTGCCACACTCATTGATAATCATAACCAGTATTTCAGTGTCTGGCTTCCTAGGCTCTGAATAGACAACATTACTGAGTAATGATTACCAGGGACACTTGATACCAGGTACTAAAACTAACTAAAACAATATGAATCCTGATGTGAGGAAAAGTGGTTTATGATTTTAAAAAAAATTTATTATTATTGGTTTTGGGGATGAGGTCTTGCTACTGAGCCTAAGTTGGCCCGGAACTTATGATCCCTCTACCTCAGCCTCCAAAGTGGTAGAATTATAGGCATGCATCAGCATGGGTGGATCAAAAATATTTTTTGCTTTATACCTTCAATCTATGATCTTAAACAGTTGGCTGGTCTCAGTTTCTTAGCAAACCATTTTCCCCCCAAAAGACCAGATAAATATCACAGCAAGTATCTTAGAAATGCTTGGATTCTAAAGTGACTGTCTTCATGTCTGCCCAAATAATCTAGCATTGAGGTTCTGTCTTCAAAACAGACAAGTAAATAATGGCATGAACCCCTTGTTTCATAATCAACAAAAGAAAAACGATACTGTCTTCTTAGTAATGTCTTTCAGAAAATAACCAAAGGTTGTTGATCTTTCTATTTTTTAAAACCTGTTTATCTTCCTTTTTCTTCTCAACCTCCACAGCAAGTTAAAATAGAAAAAACAAAGTCCAAGAAAGCAAAAACCAGTCTCTACTACCACCTGAACAGCATAGACTTTAGGACCTGTACATTTAGCCATTTTGATGCAAGAGAATTTTTTATTGGCAAACGAAGTTTTCAAGTTCTCCAAGACTAACTTGATATGATACTCCCAAGAAATCTTTACCGCCTATATCTGCTGCCAGTAAACACTCTCACACCATTTTATGTTCATGTTTAATGTCAACATTCATTGGTCAGCTGAGATTGCTATGGCCCCTTAGAATGTGTCAAGGGATTTAAATGATGTGTTCATGCATTCCATGACATGGGTGCAGACAGCTTGTCACAGAGTACAGTAAAGAGCTCTGTGGAACACAGTGCCAATCAGCAGCTTCCCTTTGTATACAGAGGCAACTGTACTACCTTGCAATACTGTGCCATTTTCTGCATAAACCACAGTTACTTTTGGTTCATCTGTTAAAATATTCTGGATTCGAAGCACCTATCAAAGAAATAACATGAGGTTAGTATTTGTAAGTCACTTGACTCAACCTTAAACTTGAGGTTTTTTCTCCCTTAGCCACACTATCTCATAGAATTACATAAGTTGTGTTTTGTTCCTAAATTAAGACACCTGTTTACTCATTTGTGAATGGTCAGGTTTTAATCACATGATTTTCATCAGTGGAGACATTGACCCACACAGACCTATGTAAAAAGGCAGCATAGTCAGGATGTGAGATGTTAGGACATAGTGGAGACCACAGTAAATATTGGGGGTTGGACAGTAAGCAGTAGCCAAATGGCTGCCATGCTGCAATTCAGACCTGGTCTGTTTATTTCCCGATAGGTCAGGAACTTGGGTGCTTAACATTTGGTTTGTATTAGGAATAGTTGCGTGGAGGTGCAGAAGGGCGAGTTGGTTGGTTGATTGGCTTTGCAATAGTCTTAACTACAAGGCCCAGGCTAGCTTTGAACTCACAGTCCTCCTGCCTCAGACCTGTGAGTGCTAGGATTACAGAGTACCACCATGCCTGGATTCACAATGCAAACAAAGACAAAAACATGGCTCCAAAAAAAGCCACCTCCTTATAGCATTCTTACCTAGTCTTCTGAGTTTAAGGTTCTACCTCTAAGGAGATAAGATTTTATAACTTAAATTTCCTTCATTTAGCTGAGAAATTTGAATACATCATCAGTAACCCTGTATTTCATGTTAAATTCATCTTTATGGCATAGTTTGGTCCTTTTGATTGACAAAGCAATTTTATATAACAAAACCTAATGTGAAGAATATCATACTGAGTTAGGAGACCCCAGTTCTGTCTTAGATCTTCCACTTAGGATTCATGTCTCATCTGCAGAGTGAGATGGGTGAGACTAAATTACTTCTAAATTCTCTTTCAACAAGGATAAAATATTGTGACTTGAAGAAGACACATATACATCACAAAACACCCAATGTGGCAGTCTGTGGAATTACTTTACAATATGGATATACTCTGGACAAGTGACTTTTACCTAACCTCTTAATCTAGAGTTACTCTTATCTTAGTCATTTTGTAATGTAGACAAGCTTACTGAACTATGTGCTCCTCTTGTGACCCGGTCATATGTCTTTCATCCTGTATGAAAAGGATACATATCCTTCCTTGTCCTCAACTTAAAGTGTGAATGCGTGTATGTTTGGTTACATATCAAGTGCTGCAAACAGCACTTATCTCATTGCAAGCAGTGAGAGAATTTGATAACATCTTTATTATTTGTGTGTGTGTGTGTGTGTGTGTGTGTGTGTGTGTGTCTAGGTCTAGGGGTCAGAGGATCAGAAAGGGAAAATTCTCTCATAAGGTAAGGGCCTGACTTTGATTTCCCCATTTCATGCTGGATATACTGTTTCAATAAAACAGAGATTGGGCCCTTGTTCTAAAGCACTGTTTTGAGAGAAATCTGAAGGAACAGGTTCTTAGTAGTTTGGGTTCATTCTTGGCCTTAAAATGAATGCTATTTGTCCTAACTACAATGTGGCATAAATACTACAGCAGTCTAGAAAAGCCAGGGCCTGGACATAAAAAGATCAACAGGTAGGTTCAAATGACCTCTTTGACATGGATGGCTTTACAGACACATGTCTTAGGAAATTGCTGTAATGTTAGCATGTTACTTAAAGGAAGTAGGTGATGACGCAGCTCAGTTTAATAAGCCTCTTGTTCATAAAATCCAAATCTTCTATAGAGAAATGCACTAGATAACCGATTAGTGTTAATGTTTTCTATTCCCCTTACCAAATTCATCATCAGAAAGGAGGTAATTTTTTTCTAGAACAAACCAAATCCTTGCTGTAGCAAATGATCCAAGTTCACCAAATAAGGTAACAAGCAAGAGCAAATTAGAATCAAACATTCTGATCAGTTTTATACATTAACACTCCATAGCATACATTTCTTCAATCCTATTAAACATATGATTAAGCAAACTTAACAGCAAAAAAATTAGCAAAAGATCCAGAAGATTGTCATTAAATACAATCACAATTTCATATAAACCTGGAGACATAGAAGACTGAGAGCCATACACATTTGATTCTTGTAAATGCAAAGATGCAAGGGGGTTGTTTATTTTGGGAGGGTGTTTATGTGTGTGTGTGTGTGTGTGTGTGTGTGTGTGTGTGTGTGTGTGTATGTGTGTGTGTGTGTATACCCTTTTGAGTGAGTGAGACTGATTTAAATATAAACTTTAAAAGTACTCAGTAACTGGGCATGGTGGCACATGCCTTTAATTCCAACACTTAAGAGGCAGAGGCAGGTGGCAGCGAATATAGTCTACATTGTGAGTTCCAGGTCAGTTGAAACTACAGAGAGACCCTGTCTCAAAACAACAACAAGGAAGTACTCAGCAATAAGGAAATATATCAAAATGATACCATGTACCATTGGATGGTATCAGATGGAATAACAAGTATACTTAGTACATACTAAAACCTCAAAACAGGGCTGGTGAGATAGCTCCGTGGTAAAGGGGACTGCTGCCAAACCGGACAACCTGAGTTCAATCCCTGGGACCCAGATGGTAGGAGAGAACTGACTCACCAAGTTGTCCTGTGAACTCCATATGTATGCCATGGCATACTCCCGCATGTACATGCATGCTCATGCACACACGGGCACACATACACACACACACACACACACACACACACACAGATAAACATAATAAATAAATGTAATAATAAAAAATCCAAATAGAAAACATGAGATGAATCATGGCAAATGTGCAAGTGCATATGGCAAATGGGTTCTAATTATTATTTGCAGTGTAAATAAATTCAAAATAACTTGCCAAATAATGACAACGGCTAAAAATGCCATCTTTGAGTACTATGGCTAAGGTAGAAAGAAGAGGTTTTCTTGGATTTTTCTTTCCTTTCTGCTGGGAATCTGCAGATAGGATGGCCAGTCACACTTTGGATGGGTCCTCTCCACTGCTTTGTGCAGACATAAGTCAACCTCCTCCATGGCTTCACACCTGCAGATCCAGCCAGTCCCAGATGGAAAATATATGTGTGTGTGTGTACATATATACACACATATATATATATATAATACAGACTTTTTCTTTCCTAATATTACCCTCTAAATAAGGCAGTGTAATTATTTATATAGCATTTGCTTTGTATTGGGTATTATAAGTACTACAGAGTGATTTTAGTATACAGGATGGGCTGGGGAGATGGCTCTGTGGGTAAGCATATTTGCTGTGCAAGTATAAGGACTTGGGGTCAGATCCCACAGCCACATGAAAAAGTTCTACCTGGGGGTTAGAAAGATGGCTCAGAGGTTTAAGAGTGATTACTGCTCTTGCAGAGGATGCATGTTTGGGTCCCAGTACCCACATAGTGGCTTACAATTGCCTGTAGCTCCAATTCCAGGGGATCTGATGCCTTCTTCTGCCCTCCAAGAGCTCCTGTATGCATGTGGAGTACATAACTCATGCAAACAAACACATATTCACATAATAAATCTTAAAAAAAAAAAACTAGGTGTGGAGGTGTGCACCTGTAATCTGAGTGCTGGGGAATGAGAGACAGGAGGATCTTTGAAATTCCCTGGCCAGCCAGTCTAGCCAATCAGCAAGCTCTAGTTTTAGTGAGAGACTCTGTTGCAAAAAAATTGGGCAGAGAATCAATTGCAGTTAGGATGACACCTGACATTGATCTCTAGCTTTTACATACATGTGCACATACATGTACACACACAAAGTATAAAGGCAGATGTGCATACACTATGTGGAAATGTCAAAGAACTTTATATAAGGGACTTGAACACCTATGGATTTGCATCCATGAGTGTCTCAGAAGCAATCCATCACAGATATTGAGAGAGGCTGTATTGATTAAAAAAAAAGGATTACTGATACCAGGGAAGGAGGAATTGTATAGGAAAACAGGATTAAAAAGTTGTACAGGAAAAATGGACAAAGCATAACTGTGTCATACCACTGTGTTATTAAAACTATCCCTAAATTGTACAGACTTACTACTGAAATCAGGCCACAGGTGCCAGCCATTGCTGGATAACCTCATCACAGTCCTTCAGGCCAGCATTCCCTCAGTGCTGACGTGTATCAAGGCCTACTGAGAGGGCGCTCACTAACTATCCCCTCACATAGCCTCCTCAAGCATGGAAGGTGTGCCCCAGTCTTTCTCCATTGGGATGGCTGCTGCCTGGTCATGTCCCTCAGCTAGGTGCCAGTTTCCTTTCCTATAATCTTTACACCGCTTTACTCCCTCTTTGTTGTTGTTTTCATTTTGTTTTTAGTTTTCCCAATGCTGGGGATCAAACCCAGGAACCCATGCATACCAGACAAGTGCTTTTCACTGAGTTATACTCCCAACCCACCATTCCCTTGTTGTTTTGGCTTTGGCAGTCATTTCCTACCCCTCCCCCATCCCTGTGTCATTGTGTTGGCCCTGATACCCCTATACTTGCACCGCATTCTTGTAAACCCCCTCAAATTACCTAGTGTAGGTGTACCATCTGTCTCCTGCCTAGACTCTCACCAAAACACCTGCAAAAGTCCTTTTGACTTCTGACCACTTGAATCATCTGTCCATGTCTCCTCTTTTATTTGCATAAACAAGTAATAATTTTGTTTTCAGCTGAAAAGCAGTAAAGGTTTTTGATCTGCTTCACTTGTCAAGCTAACCTCTGAGGCAGGTGGGTTCTTGGGGTCATAGAAGAAGATCCGCATCCCATTGGGGTGGCAACCAACCCAGAGGTCCCCTGTCACAGGATCCACAGAGATGTTATCCACAAGAGTGTCAAAGTTGAGTGACTGCCAAGGTGAAAAAGAGAGGCCCACAGTCAGTGTGAGGACATGAAGAGGTGCCACTGAACTACAACAGGGGAGACTGTCCTCCTGGTCCACACACCGCTCCTCCAGGGACACGATGCCGTCATTTCAATCAAACTATGGGGATGCTTTTGGCCTTCCATCTATTCTAGTGTTTTGTCAGATTCCACAACAGACTGTGGATAGGGACAGATTTAGAAAGCAAAGGCTGATTCCTAAGAGTTAAATGAAATCATTTGTACATGAACTTCAAACTAAAAATAAAACTAAGTGCAGCATAAAGCCCTTTCTAAATGGAATGTAATTCTAATATTTTTGCAAGCATTCCAAAAGCAACCAAGAAATGTAGATTCATTTCTGAGGAGGAACTTGGAGGCAATGTAAGCTCCTTCACAGCTAATCATAGACTGTGCAGTCAGGGAAAAAATGATCACCCAGGGTCTAATTTTTGCCTTGAAGTTGAGGGAAAGTTTGTTCTTTTGCTTCCTGATGTTATTCAACTCCCTGTTCTTCTGCTGTTTCTTTTCTAAACATAAGCAGCAAACGTGTGATGACTGCACAGATTGCTGTCGGGGCTTTGTGCCGGCATCATAAATAATAGCAATGATTCCTAATTCCACCATTCATCATCTTGGCTGCCTTCTACCGGAAAGAAATCCCATCTATTTGTTTACTTCTAACTCTCATTGGAGAAACAATATCTTCCATGTACTTCTGAGTCCAGCAGACCTCAGTGCCCAGGGACCCTGGGAATAACTGGTCATGACTCTCTGCAAAGGCTAGAAGCACGGGAAGGCAGCTGTTGTGTGCTGCCACTGCCCTCTGCCTTTTCCTCAAAGTGAGAGCTGTCCCCACATGTCTGCAAAGGGATTAGAGGGCTCAAATAACCTGGCAGAGCCTCTGTCTCACTGTCAGACAAAGCTGTCACCCTTCAACATGGAAACAGGCAGCAATAGCCATAGGAGGTGGCTAAGCCCCAGGTCAAAAATCTGCTGCTGGCTTTCTCTAGCCCCGGCCCCCATCCAGCATCAGCTCATACACATTATCTTCTTTAAGTGAGGAAAAGGTGTGACTCCACGTTCCTCTATTGTGATCTTGGGGCAGGGGGCAGCCATTGTGAATTTCATGGTGGATGGAAATCTTCTGAAATGATGGTAGAGGCAAGAGATGACAGAAACCTAGGCTCCCATCTACTCAGCACACAATTACCACATGATTTGCAAAACATTCAGCTCAGCACCTAGAGTGTACAGGTCTGACTTCTGCCAAGGAGCAGTGTACCATCCAGCAGGGAGCCTGTCCCTGGTCTAGAAACAAACTCTTGCCTTGCAATATGCAATTCCTAATCATGATTTAAAAAAATCATTATAAAGGGCATCTATATTCTATCTCATACTCCCACAAAGACAAGTGGAAGATGTTGAATTCTAAGTTAAAAACTGGAGGGTTGGTGACATAGCTCAGCAGGAGAGTATCTAAAACTTCTAGATATGGCTGGTGGTGAAGGCTGTACAATACTGTGCCTATACCGAATGCCACTGAATTGTACATGTGGAAATAGTTCAGATGGCAGATGTTACATTCCATGTATTTTACCAAAGTGAAAAGAATTCTCCTCTGACAAGACTCTAAGGATCAGTTAATAAATTAGTCCTATTTCAGTCAGCTGTTGTACCCTTCGTTTTTAAGGATGAAAAATATTCCATTGGATGAATATACACATTTTTGGCAGGTCATAAACTCATCACCTCTATCACAGATTTGATAGTGGACTCAACTAGTTTACCAAATTTCTTGGCATTCTGAGGCATTAAGTATTAATTCATATAATCCCTCAAAAGTATGAGTAGTGTTACATTTGAGGGATTGACCTCTGCTGGGTTGGTTATAATGATGAGAGATGGGCCTGTTCTGTTAAGAAAAGTGGAAACCAGATCTGACCCTTTTGGGCAAGAACAGAGTCCTAGCAATCTGTGTTGAATGTACATTGAATTGAGTTTTATTATGAAATTCTTTAACTTTCATCTTGCTGAAGTATCTGTTGTTATAAGCACAGTTTGCTTTTATTCCCTAAGCCAATTGGAGTATGTGAAATTTCATTTCTCCTCAGCTAAGATCAAACTAGCTCTGCCAATGACTTTTAATGTCAAAAATGATGTTATATTTGATGTTGCTTTGAGGCAATTTTCTGAGTGAGGCCCCTTGTGACAGTCCCTGGGCCATGCCAACAGGAACAGTCATGCAATTGGCAGTGATAGGGATTTCTGCTGTGGGCATGGGTGTCATCACACAGTGTCCTGTGGCTCTGCAGGAGCACAGCCTGCCTCATAATGTTCCACTTGCTCTGAGCTTCCCTTTCTTCCACTTTCTGGTTTTATTCCTTCTGACCAAAACTTTCAGCCTAGACCAGAATTAGTAGAAGGTGAAACCTTAATACACACACTTCCCTACCAATGCAATATAACAAGTGTTTGTTGACTGTCTATTAGGTGTTGGGAACTCTTCCAGGAACAAACAGAAAAAAAAAATCTGCCCTGGTGAATCCTACAGATAATAAAGAAGACGAGTAAAAAATGTAGTGTGGTGGTAATAAACACTAAGCAAAAATAAAGCTACAAATGAGACAGGAAATGTGGTAGGGGGCAGAGTGGGTAGTAGCTCAAGTAATGAGGAAAGACTGAAGTAAGAAGTGAAAGGAGACGAGGGACCACAGAGACCTGCAGAGCAATGGCTCAGGCTGAGCTGGAGAGCTCTGGGAATTGCTGGAGTCAGGAGAGGTACTGTGGTTGAAGGTAAGGGCAGAGAGGTAGTGAGCAGCCAGGACAAACTGCAGCCATGTGAGCATGTGGCTGTTTTAGACAATGTAGAGGAGCTCCATGTGAAATATAAGTGGACTGTTTCTAGGCAGTTCTGTCTCCGAAAAGGAAAGGAGAGATGGGGAGAAGGAAAAGTAGAAGGAAGAGGAGGAGGAAGAACAGGAAGCAGAGGAAGGAGTCAAGGAGGAACTTGGGAAAACAATTTAAAATTTGCTAGAGCAGAAAATATCAGAGTTTCCTAGGTGAGATACAGGACTTGCTGTTTCCTTCTCTGCTGCTGAGCAAAAGTGAACAGACACATGAGAACGCCGATGGCTCTTAAAAAATAAGTGAAAAATTGCTTCTCACCCACTCCAATTAGACAATCCGTTTCTCCTCACTTTTAATTTCACAAATCAATTAGAATCTAATTATCACTTCTCAAACTTATAGCGTTAATATATCTTACCTTCAATAGGGTTAAAGTCCAATTAGCGTGCTTTTCATACACGTGAATCTTGTGAGCCAGCAATTCAGCTATATAGACATACCTTCAGAGAAGAAAGAACTCAGTAAAAGTGCTTGAAGTAATGCAGTCTAAAAGGCTACAGTGAGTTGTGATCACTCTTCTTAGAGTAGAACTTTGCTTAGAACTGGAACCCATCTCAAAGCACACTTGATCCTAAAGAGCCCAATGAGTTTACAGTGCGAAAAGCAGTTTAATCATTGAAAAGTTATTACCTCAAATGATCGGTAGGGAAGGAACTTAGTGCTAACACCAACTCTTTTTTAAGATAGGGTTTCACTGTGTAGACCTGACTGGCCTGGAACTCACTATGTGAACCAGGTTGGCCTCAAACACACAGAGACCTACCTGTCTCTGCCTCCTGAGTGCTGGGAGTAAAGGTGTGCATATCACACCTGACCTGAAACACTGACTCTTAATATCTGGGAGCAAAATATACTGCATGCTGTCATGTTTGACTTGCTGGCCTAGTGACAAGCCCAAGTTAGAAGGTAACAGGTTCTCCTCACTTGGGAAAGTATCAGAAAAGCCCTCAACTACAGTCTTCTGTTTCAGGCCAGAGGAAGAACTAGAGAAGACAGGTGTTTCGCGTCCAAGGAGAGAAGTCTTCCTGTCCTCCTGTCCTGAGCCTGATCTTAACCCACAGGTTTAGTAATCTGCGTAGGATATAACATCTCACTGTAAAGAGTCTCGGTAAGACTATATAGAGTACATTCTAGAACAAAAGGAAAAGTAACATCCTGATTATTAACATCCTGTGAGAACACAGCAGGATTATGGACTACGTCACTAACAATTATGTCGATTCTTTCCTATAGTAAAATGTCTTGATGAGGGAGGCAGTGCCTTCGTTTACATTCTTGGTTGCAAGTCCCTTCTCCTGTCATAGACTAGTGCCTCATACCATATTATTATTAATCTCACTAGTCACTCCAAAATCATCCTACAAAACAAAGCTATTTAGTAATACTAAATGCTTATCACTGATCTCCATCTTGAAATGTGCTGTTTTATCCCCAGTGGAAACACACATGGGCTTAACCAAAAAGAAAAAAACTTTTGATTTAATTTCTTTTACCTTCTGAAAAATTAAGATACTTTACATTTTTCTTAATTTTATCCTACTAAGATAACACACACTAAGATAACATAATGTTACTGAGGAAGAGGCTACGTTGGAAATCTAGGGAAAGCCATACACTTTCAATTAAGAGTGCACATACTTGCCGTCAAGGGAAATGCCAATGCCATTAGCAAAATCAAGTCCTTCTGCCACCACCTGAACTTTATCTGGACTGTAGTAAACCACATTGGACCATGCTAGACCCAAGTACAGCTCCCAGGATCGCAAGTATGGGTCAGCAAAATAGTGATCATTCGTGGCATAAAAGCTCTCAGGTCCAACAGCAACAATATCATTGATACTGCAATGAAAACATATGCATGATTTGCACACAGGAAGGTAGCACCCGTTATCAGAGTATGAATTTTTTTTCATTAATGTCTAGTTTTAAAGTCAAAATACAGGATAGAGTCCTCATACTATCTGGGATAGCCCAAAATTACAATGAAATCAGTTCCAGTCACTCTTCAAAGATAAAATGTGATTATGATGTTGTTATACGAAAATCGTAAGAACTGTATTATAAATGCAGTGTTGTTGTTGTTGTTGTTGTTGTTGTGTGTGTGTGTGTGTGTAAATTCAGTAGACATAAATCAGGCCAGGGATTATTACCAGTACAAGATGAATCTGTGCACATGAAACTGACTCCTATCAGTCCAAGGCATCTTAAGGCAGAGGAAAAACATTGACCTGGTGACATTATGGATTGAGCCTTATTAGCTCTGTGATGTGGGGAGAATCAATCCTTTCACACATTGGGGCCTCAGTTTCCTTATCAGTGAAAGGAGGATGATGGTCTCTTCTGTCTGCTAGCCATACAGTTTTGCACTTCTAACTGAACAAGAATTCCATGAGAAAGAATGTTCAGAAAGAAATAGGATGTTTGGCTCTTTTCTTTCTGATTAGGATTCTCTCGGTGTTCCTGAAAACGTAAGATATATGAGTCTATTTTTCAGCTTTAATAGGTACAATAGCAAACACATAAGTGAGTCATTCCTTGCTGATTGAGGTGACGGAAGTTCCCCGGAGCCACGATCCGAGAGAAAATTATCTTTGCTCTACTTCAGAGTGTGTAACGGCCAGCACACGTCAGCTCTGATGTAGCCCGGGCTCAGGAGTGAGTGAAACGGTACAAAAAGTCTCAGTTTCTCATCTGTAAAAAAAGCTTAAATGATTTCTGTCCAAAGTCACGCCGTTTGGCTCATTAAAAAAGCCTACGGGTCAGAATCTCAACTGCGCAGTCATGGTGGGAATTACAGAGAGACAATGCTGTAGGCTTTGCAGGGAACCAGACTCACTAAAGGCCTCCATCAACAGAGCTCCATTACCACAGAGAGGGGAAGTCTGTGAAGTTAGGATGAAATTGTGCAGGTTTCCCGGCAGAAATTGACAAGCTGCTTTTACTTCTTTTTTAAAAGCAAATTTTGAAAAATCAGTATGCTTTCCTATCATTTGCTGTTCTTGATGGAAAAGGAACAGAGGAGAATGGCTTGGGGCGATTGCTTTGAACTTCGATAGAGTGTTTGAATCCGAGCCTGCTTGCTACAGTCACAATGTGGGGCCACAGCATGTCACCCAAGTTGGGCCACTTCCTGAACCTCAGTGTTCTCTCTGTACTTTGGAATGTTGGGAAAGGATGAAATAATGATGACTATAAGGCCTTGCCACCATGCTTGCCATGCATAAAGGACCAGCAGTAATAGCCATGATCTTATTAATAACATGATTCACTCACAGTAGTAGTTGGAATAGTAACACTGTAAACAACCCTAAGATACAAAGCCACAAATACATATGGCTAACTGGATGGAGAGAGACAAATGCTGGTTAATGGTGGCACTCTGATTGCTTGCAGTCTGTTTCTATACATTCAGAGGAGTTTGTGATCATTAGAAGGGAGTATTGACCCTGCCTGGCCAAGATGAAAAGCTAAATGTGGATGAACCATCCTCTGCAGTTAAGAAAATTGTAAATCCAGTGCATCTCAGTACCTCGGCAGAAACTTGTGTGTGATGGTTTTCAGATGCAAAAGCGATTTTTCTTTTTCTTGAAATTTAAACACCTCCACAGTGGACTTGAAGGCTGGATGGTTTACCACCAGTAGATACACGACATTATCTGAAAGGAGATGAAAAACAAAAATGGGAGCATTAACAGAGCTCTTGGCTGTCAGGTTTGTCTCCCCAAAGCAATTTCAACCCACCTCCAAGTAGTACTTAGGATGTCAAGCAGATGGAATGTTTTCGTCTTTGTAGAGAGAAGAAGCGATTGTGATTGCTCCAAAGAAAAGTGGCTGAAGGAAGAATGGGTGTCAGTCTCTAAAAATCCACAACTTCGTGGAGAGGCAAAATCCCAAACTTGAGAATGAGCATGCCTGACACTGAAACTCCAGATGGGCTGTTAAGCCTTGCTGGTTCAAATGATGTCCATAAGATACCAGGTGAAGGTAAGAGGACAGAGGTGTGGGCACGGGAGGAGAAGGTGAGCTCTGCTGTAATTAAACAGTGGAAGCTGACAAATGCCTCAGGAAGATCTGACATAGCAGGACTTCTGGGCATGAAGGAAATGGATCTAAGTGGTCAAGAAGGTGTGATCAGAGGTGGGACATGATCAGAGGTGGCTCATACCTGTAATCCTACTATTTGGGAGGCTGAGGCAGAAGAGTTATGATGAATTCAAGACCAGCCTGGGCTAAGAAGTGAGAATCTGTCTCAAGAAGATGAGTAGCAGGAGGAGGAGGAGGAAGACGAGGAGGATAAGGACGAGGACTAGGATGAGGAGAAAAAAAGGGGGAAGGAGGAGAAGAAGGAAGAGAAGAAAGAGAAAAAGCAGAAGAGAAGGGAGAGGAGGTACCAGGCATGGTGACAGGCACCTTGAATCTTAGCAATCAGGAGGCACGGGCAGGTGAATCTCCATAAGTTTGAGGCCAGCCTGGTCTACATAGTGAATTCCAGGGTAATCAGAGCTACATAGTATGACCCTGTCTCAAAAAGAAAAAAAAAACAAAAAACAAAAAACAAAAAACAAACAAACAAACAAAAAACCAAAACCAAAGAAAAAAAAGGAGAAAGAGGAGGAGAAAAGAAAAGAAGTAGTGAGGAGTCTCCGGAAACCTCTGACACTAAACTGTTATTTAACAGAAAATTATACACTGTTCAGTGCATTTGAACAGAAAAGCTCCTGAGATATTTTTGATAAATCTAGTCAAGAAGATGTATTTTAGTTTGTGTTTGATGCTATAAGGAAACAGTGAAACAGGATAAAGGGATAGAGAGTAGTGCAGTGTCTTCACGGTAGTCAGGTACCATCTTTTGACAAGATGACATTAAAGCAGAGACCTCATGAAACAAGAGAGCAGAATGTGTGAGTATCTGGAAATGGAGATTCCAGGTTGAGTGAAGAGAACATCCAAAGGTTCCAAGGCTGGGCGTTTTTTGGCACACTCACTTGATTGTGAGGTTGTGATTAGAGCCACTGAGAGAGAGGGAGAATGAAAGAACTGAGGTGGGGGTTGGGGTGGACCAAGAGCAGTCTGGCTGGGTTGAGTGTTAGGGTAAGAATCCTCAGTCTCTATGACTGACATGATCTAAGGCTCCCTCAGAAATCCAGGCTTGTGGAATAGGGTCAGTGTCAAATAACACTGACCAGAAAAGACAGTAGAGGATATGAGAGACACTTTCCAGGAAGCACAGAAAAGACCCTGGAGCTAGCTGGGGAATGAGGAAGTCAGAAACCAGACACAAGTACGGATTAAAACCAGGGTTCATATTTTGTATATCAGATTTTACATGTTAGAAGTTGATCCTAAGGAAATAGTCACAGAAGCTGTATGTACAGGGTGTTTATTTTGGCACTGTTAGTAATAAATAAAAGTAGAAACCCCACCCATATGTATAAACATATGGATAATGTTCTAGGAATCGCACCAGCTAAACCCTGAAAGCCCTGCAAAGTGGCTCTAAACACACAGCCACAAAAAAAGAAAAGAGTCCAGGGTGGAATGTGGAAAGTGACAGCTAGCTATGCACAGGCTTGTGTGATACCACTCCAGTTTTATTTTTTAAAGTATATACATGCCAAAAACTGTATTTCCTTGCACTTAAAATATTTTTAAAATAAAATACAATGGCAATGATTGAGTAAGTGTATAGAGAGACCATTGAAAGAATATACATATATAATTATTATTTGACATTTGAAGTTTAAAGTGGTGGTAGGAGAGGAACACAAACAGAAGTGTCTAGTAAGTAGCTTCCCTAATGGGACTGAAGTCTTGATGAGAAAATAATATTAATAATCCACCTTTGGGAATACTATCCTAGAATATAGGCACACACTGTGACATTGGTCTGAAATGTCGAAAACAGGAAAAAGAAAGAGGCAGGAAAGGGTTGAATTAATTTGTGGGAAATGTTCACCAAATTTCAGTAGGCTGCAAGAAATAATCAGGGAGAAGAGTCACGGTGGGGCCAGAACCTGCACAGAAAAGCTGAAATGCAAAGGATTGGCAAAGTTCTTGAAGGAGAAGGTGGGTAACGGTGAAAACATGAGGTGGAAGGAAAGAAGGGTGGAAAAAAGAAAGAAAGGAGGAAGGAGGGGGGGAAAGAGGGAGGATGGAGAGAAAGGAGGAAGGAGAGAGACAGACAGAGACAGAGACAGAAAGACAGAGACAGAGAGCCAGAGAGAGTCAAAGAGAGCCAGAGAGAGCCAGAGAGAGAATGTTAATGGGGCCTCATTGAGAACTTTGATGGTAGCTCTTTAGCCACCCATAGTGGGAACAGTTGGGAAGGAGGACTAATTGTAGATGATCAGTTAGGAAATGGAGACAAAGCGTACAGATGGTCCACAGTAAGTGTTGTTACCAGGTCATCCTCCATCCCACAAAATCCCATTCTCTGGGGCCAAGGCTTGGACACTGGGATTTTTTAAGTGTTTCTGTGTGCATCTAAGTTTGAGAATTATTACAGTGAAAAGGAAATGGCACCAAACAGAAAGGAGAAGACCGTGGGATAAAGGCACAAGGGTGCAGATAGTAAGTGATATTGAAAACTATCAAAATGGAAAAAATCTGTTTGAACATGGAACAGAACCCAGGGGACAAGAAGGTGTGAAAGCCACAGGACTAACAGTAGGCTGGGGGTGGGGGTCTGTCAGTATACTTTTGGGTGGCAGATGACTTAGGGCAAGAAAAGCCAAGACTGGAAATGCCTCTGTCTTTCCAATTTTTAACATGGAAAACCTGTCATGATTAAGGCTGATTACTATTTTTATTGAAGTTTTGTGATTTTCATACAATGCAGTTTGATTGTATTTAGATCCCCTCCCCTATCTACACCTCCCATCATTGCCCTCCTGCCCAATTTACTGTGTATATATTACACATGTTAAGGCCTGTATAATCTGATTTGTGTCCCCAATCCTTCAATGTGAGTTCATCCACTTGACCACCCAAGAATTCCATCCCTATAAGACACTTTCTCTCTCTCAGCAACTGGTAATTGCCAAAAGTTCCTTAGACTGGGTTGGAATTTCCTACCCACTTCCCCATGGCTAGGCTACCATTTTGTCTGGTTTGAGCTTGTATAGAACTTCTGCATGCTGTCACCATTGCTAAAAGTTCATATGAGTAAGTGATTAGCTGTCTAGAAGACTCTGTTTTCTTGGGGTCATCAACCCCTTTGGTTCTTTCAATCTTTCCTCCTCCTCCTCTTCTGTAATGATCCCGGAACCTTGGAGGCAGAGGTTTGAAATAGCTGTCCTATTCAGAGATAAGCACTCTGAGGCCTCTTATTCACTGCACATTGGCCAATTGTGACATTATTATTATTATTATTATTGATATAATGTGAATATCACTGTTTTATAAAAATCAAGAGTGTTACAAATCTGAAATATTTGGCATTATCAAGCACTGAAATGATTTTAATATTGCTTACTTAACATAGGAAGTAAGTTCAAAGTCTCAGAAAAGTATTCATGATTAGGCTTTGGTTGAATGAGGAGAAATATTCATTTTCGGCATATCTTTCCCTTGTTAATTTTTTTTATTAAACAGTAACTATTACCTTCATCTGTGAATGTACTGATCCCATGAGGGTTAAATGAAGGTAGATCCAATTTATTTTCTGTAATTTCCAACTCCAATACTGCTGGGTCCTCCTCATTCAGGTCCATCAAAAGTATTTTTCCAGGCTGATCAGGTTCAAAACTCTTTATTCCAGGATATTTTAATCCCTTCAAAGCATGGGGGTAAGGGAAAGCAGGCACATCACAGATAGTTCAAATGCTGATAGAGGTATTGAGTGCCACGTGAGTTCATATTGTCTGTTCTGGGCCACAGGTGACCCCAGATCCCTGGAGTACCTTTTAGCTGGCTGTGTGGCAGGCCCACAGGAAACTCTGGAAGGACATGCTGCTTTAAGATCATCCCCTTATACCCTCGCATCACCCACAACGGAGCCCTACATAAGCATACCACAGCTGCCAGCCCCACGAGAAAGTCAGATGACCACTCATTTCAGCTGTAAGTGGACACTGCTATGTAGAAGATCCAAAGAAATTTATATTGCCAGTCCTAGAAAAAGTTCTAGAGTACAATAAGTGACAGCAAACACTCACAGAGCTGAGGAAAGCCAGTCCATTTGGCAGTATCTCTAGGTCTTCAGCGCCTGCTTCTGCAAAGAGAGAGGCAGGATAGATTATTTTAAACTACTGCAGAAAGCTGAGGAGCCATTTCTTCATCTCCTCTCACTTGAAAATGGGGCTGTCTTAGCTCCTGTTTGCTAAGTCCAGAATGATTCAGTTTTTCATTGCATTCAAATGGATGACTGTGATCATATGGAAGTTAATTAATCTCATGTAACCAAGATTGGCCTCAAACTCATTTTATAGCCGAAGATGACCTTGATCCTGACCCTTCTACCTCCACCTCCCAAGGCTGTGATTACAGGCATATGCCACCATGCCCAGCTTGATTATATAGAAAGATGTTAAGTACTAATATCATAAGCAAGTGTAATTACAGTTTGCACTTCATATATTTGCTTCAAACTAATGGGCTAGAACTTTTTTAAAATCAAATTCTGAAACCTCTTATATAGAGTTCATGGAAATTCACAAACTATACAAAAACTGTTGAGTATTTGGAAAGAACTTTCCATTTTTTAAACATGCAAAGTAAATGCTAAATACATGGTGCTTCATAGTTAGAAATAAATCAAACATTTTGAAAACCATACTAGAAATACAAGCAAATTCTAAATACATTAAAATGGAGATATCTTTCAAATACTCAAGAATATGTATTTGCTAAGTATAAATATGAATAAAATATCTCTTCGAGTTAGTTATAATTTAAATTCAATTAATGTAGAAACAAACGAACTAGTTGCTTTTGTAGTCACACTCTTTTTTTTTTTTTTTTTTTTTTTTTTTTTTTTTTTTTTTTGTCTTTTTGAGACAGGGTCTCCTTGTAGCCCCAGCTGTCCTGGAGCTCATTATGTCGACCAGGCTGGCCTCAAACTCACAAAGATCTGCCTGCCTCTGCCTACCAAGTGCTGGCTCTTAAGTGGAACTAACTTTTTTGGATGTTTAACAGCCATACTTTGAGGCCTATACTAATTTGGTCAGAGAGACTTAAAGGACAGTATTTGCTCCTTGCCCTCCAAGGTCGACTAAGTTCCAGGGGTCTATGGAGCATCTCTCAAAATGTCCTGTAACTGGAAATGTTTGTTTTAAATATCCAGTGATACTTGATAACAGTATCATACTTTTTCAGAAAAATATTGTGCTGTCTGGCCATGTTTAAGAACACTAACTAAATGAGTCTTCTGGGCTAGCCTTCTGAGCTATAGTCGACTGAGACAAATAATTCTAAAAAGAAAAGCCAATAACCACCACCTACTCAAAACATAATAAGAGCTTGGCTCTCAAAAATGTTGGCTTCCAATAACAAAATTGGTTAGTTGAGACCAGAAGGAAATCTGATCCCTGGGATGCTATGAGATGTTGTTACCAGTGCTGCTATTCCTCTCCCTTTATTTTTGCTGACAAGGCTTGCTTCTGACAATGGAAGCCAGTAATTATTTTCCCAGCTTCCTTTGCAGCTAGGCATCAGTCTGTCCTCCAGTTCTGACTAATGAGCTCTAAGGGGAAATCTGCTGAGAACTTCTGGGAAAGATTTTCCTCTCCAACACTAAAAGAGATGCATGAGAAGAAGCCTTGTAGTAATTACTAAGGATTGTGAGAACTTTTATTAAAAAACTATTCTGTACTCTTAGCTTTATCACCCTCTTCCCTCTCTCTTTTGCCAACTCCTCCAGTTTTATTATCATGAAGCTGTTGTTCTGACTATAGACTTTGTTCTGTTGGTCAAACAAAACCCAATGAAAACTGCCAATACATTGTCAATATGTCACTGAAGTCAAAAGTCAAAGGGCATGGTATTTGTAATTGACTCCTGAGTCTATATGACCCTCCCAGTCCAATATTGTATTTTTGAACAAAATTAAACTGGTGCATTAGTGGAATACACAGTGAGATAGCATCCTTGCATTTTGAATGAGATGCTTCATCATCTCTTATACATACCAATGCCTTTAACTAAATGACAACTGGGAAGTTCCACTGGTGTCACTTCACGGAAAGCATTCAGTCTCTTCCTAGAGGAGAGAAAGAAATAAAACATACATAACATTATTCAAAATGTAGAGCTAGGTTGCAAAAGTCAGCATCCCAGAAAGTTCTCCTTAACTGTGCTTTACCTGGGGTACAGCTTTAGAATTAGTGGTCCTGGGCACCTGTGATTCTACTAGATCAGTGGGGTACAACATGCATTGAGTGAGAACTGCTATGTCCAGGGTAGACAGATACACAAAAAGGAGACACTGTGCCCTCCAGGCTGTGTGAATTTTGGCAGTAATAGGATCTAGTTTATCAGCTGTGTGAGGACTCCACTATGGGTAGTTGGGTTGAATGGCAACATGGATAGTCCATCCCATTGATGTTTGAGAGTTGCTCACAGATGGGCCTTTTATCTGTCTGTCATGATGGCTCCACAATCTGGACTGAGCATCCATCTGCTTTTCTGATAAGGTACTTCAAAAATGCAAGTGTGTTTAAAGGATTTATAACTGTAGAAAGTCATACCCAAGGCCAGCCGGTAAGAAGGCATCACACATGGGCAAGCACGTGCACACACACACACATACACACACACACACATATACACACACGAGGGGAACTTATTAAATCTGAGTACGTAAGCATCACCAGGGAATATTTGAGTGAAAGATAAAGGAAAAGGGAACAGATGTGAGAAGGAAGCAGTAGCAGGCTGCTGAATACAGTGAAGCCATTGATGTGGCATTTGAAAGAAACAGACCACAACATTGGCACAGCCAGGAGATTCAACAACAAATGTGTAGTTTTAGAACAAATCATATTATATAGTCATAATAAGTAATGACAATTATCTAAAAATCCCTGGGAATTTTATTTGGCTTCTGATGAGCTGAATAACTCTCTTCTTGCCTTCCTGGCAATTTAGTCTCACAGAAGGAAGAGGATGAACCAGGGGTAGACGATCACTCTGGATAAGATTCTTACTCACCATGATAGAGAATTCAAAGAACTGAGGGCAACTGGTCTTTGATTTCTTCAGCAAAAAAAAAAAATTTAGATATTCCTACCCTCATGCTATTGGCTAAAATTTCATTCTCTGGAACAATCTGGAAGAATAGTCTGGGAAGTGCACCCCAGTAATCTGCTTTGTAAAAGTACTCGAGTTTGTCCTGATGCACAACCAGAATGGAAAACCACTAATATGGGTGCTAGAGAAGCAGAGATGACCAAACAGATGGAAAATGTTGGGCTTCCTGGAAGACTGCTGCTTCCTCAATGACAGAAAATAACTTAGAAAGCAAAACCCACAGAAAAGTTGGGATCTGTCCTGTGACTCAGAAAATGAAAGGTATTGCAAAAGTGGATAAAGAAAAAAATGCCAGGCCGTAATCTGACATTGTAATCATAAAAGTTTATGATAACGAAAATCAAGGGAAAGTGACACAGTAGTGGCTTTCAAACTTTTCTTACTAAGATTCATATTAGGAAAAGTACATAGCATGCACACACACACACACACTCCAAGGTTCAAAAAATAATACCCTAATCCATGTGATCCGTTCTTCTCTGTTAAGGATTGGACCTAGGGTTTTACATATGCTAGGCAGCACTTTGCCTTTGAGCTATCATTCTTAATGTATCCTATGTCATATATTCTTATGTTTTCTGTTCAAATGCACTTTAGTTTAAAATGTTGATAATGGTTTATCAAACTTATTCTGTCACCCACCTCTATGAAAGACATTGTTTGGGAAACATACAATGAATATTTGTGGAGTGTCCCAAGGAAGTCAAAGGACAGTTTCAAGATATTAAGAGCAAAGAGTGGCATGTACAGGGGAATGCAAGGATGTGAAATCACTAAATGAACCAAGATTTGTACAAAGTGCCAGTGGTTTTTAGATTCAAAAACATACAGGAAGGATAAGTGGGCAGCCCAGCTCACAAGGTCTATTAGGTGTGATTGGTTCACAGACGACAAAGGCCAAGCTGTCAAGCTACTGTTCTCATCCATGCCTCTTTCTCAAGGAAGGTGAATTCTACTCTGGAAATGGTAGAATATCCACAGTGAGCCCAAACCCAAGGAAGGCAAGAAGACACATAGTCTGCACCTAGTTGCTCTGGGTCCCAATTTGTGACCCAGACAAATCATCTCTCAACAGGGTGCTTTAGCTGGGCCTTGCATGTACCCCTGTTTATTCCTCCCTGAGGTGTTCTTTTTCCCAGTTACAGATTAGTGAGATTGAGCTGTGTCGCACAACTGCACAGTTATGAAGTAGCTATGCCAGGACTAGAACACAAACATGAAAGCAAATCTCCATTCCACTCTCTCACTTTGCTCAACATTGCTGCAAAGCTGGACATTGTACCTGCAGACTCATCCTCCCTGGAGCCTGTGTTCAGCTCTCGGCTTTGTAGCTCTTCTCAAATTATCAGGAAAGATGTTGTCAAGGGCCTAAGTTCAAATGTTCCAGATCTCATAAACAAAGTTCAGTGCCTGAGATATATTCCTGATTCCCAAGCCTCTGAAGTCTGTCCAGAAACCATACGAACTTTGCTGTGAACTTTTCTGTGCAAATAAATGATGCTGGCTCCTTTCCAAAGAGCATGAGGTTCTTTCCACCATGAGGAATGCTGCCATACATTCCTCATGCATTCAGTATTTCATTATGAAGCTTATTGTGTGTCAAGTCTCGCTGCTAAAGGTGCATGTACATGCGTGAGCACACACACATAAACACACACATACACGCATACAAACGTATGTTCTCATTTAATCTTCTCTGCCTCTTTTGAAACAAAGACTCCTGTTTTGCATGCTGGGAGTATGGTTCAGTGGTAGAGCACTTGTTTGGCATGTGTGAAGTCCTGGCTTCAATCCCAGTACCACTCATTCAAATTCACATTTTCCTTGTTCTGTATGTAAGGACACTGAGGCACTGAGAGGCCAAGTGATTCAGATGTGATCTCTTATTTTAAAAGGCACAGTTGAGATCTGAAATTAGGAATCATGGTAAGAAGTACTCTGCTCTCTGCTTCCTTTTATGCCTGAAGGGAGACCCCCCGCCCATAAATCCCAACCATAAAGCAATTCATGCTTTACAAACAAGTCCCTCTGGGACCCCCATAAACCCCCAAACCATAAAGCTTCGACTCTGTAAATGGTTCCTTCTTTGCAAGCAAGTCCTTTGGAGACCCTTATGGGGAGAAGAATGCAGGTCCTAAATCTTTTACCCAACTCCCGTTACTCTATTTACATACACAAAGGTGTTAAAGCTCCCCTGCTCTTTGGCCGCTGTGGCTACTGCAGACTCCCACTGGTCAGTGTCAGCAGTCACCCCTCATTGATGAATAAAGGTCAGTTTGAATTGTATGAGCTTGGTTGCTTTTGTTTTCCACCTGCCACTCTTTCTTTCAACTCCTAATTCCTAAAGTTCTAACCCAGGAGAGAGTTAAAACTCCTAATTCCTAGCAGTGCCCTTTTCATTTGTCTCTCCACATCTCTCCACTCTGAATGCACTTCACCTCACTACCCATAGAAGAGATCCCGGCCCTGCCTTCCATAGCACCCCAGGTCTTCTATGGTGAGACCAGTAGTTCATTTGTTCATCCTCATGGAATTCATTCACACATCTATTAAGTCCCTTGGATGCTGTTTTACATAATCAGTTTCAGGTCTTGTTACTCCCTCCAAACTCTGAAATTGGTGAGTGATACTGTAATTCTATTGAGTCCTCTGGCTTCCACCATGAACATGGTACTTGCAAAGGAGAGGAGGAACAACAGCTGTGTGCATCTGACTGAGAAGATGGTATGGATGCACTGATGGACTGGAGTGGTATTCATTCTTAGCCTAGGTATCAATGAATTATCCTGATACTTGTATGTTGTAATATCTATAACAAGCATCCCCCACGAAGGTTCTAGCACAATGGTCAGATATGGAGATTTTAGGAAGTAAAAGGATCATGAGAATGTCGACTTAATCAATACATTAATGTTCTGATGGATTCATAGCTGAATAGACTATTTGAAGGTGGTGGAAACTATGGAAGTTTAGGGCTGGAGGATGTGGCCATAGGGACCATGCCTTTTAAAATATATTTTGTCCCAATCTTTTCCTTTGGCTGTCTCTCTGGGCTTTCTGGCTACTCTGGGATGAGCCTCCTCTATTCCACGTTCTTACCCCCATGTTCTTTTGCCTTACAGCAGCCTCATTGGAATGAAGCAGCTACCCATGGGCTTTGAACCCATGGGCTGGAACCTCTGAAACCATGAGCCAAAATAAATCTTTCCTTTAAATTATTTCTCTCAGGTTGTGATCACAGAAATTCTGACTAACACACTAACTATCATTCACTAAACTCTCTAAATGACTTTTTAAAGATCATATGCTAATTATGAAAGTTAATGATTATAGGGAACTTATTGTGTGCCTAATTTTACATACCCCACTTTTAGGTAGAGAATCAGGATGGAAATTTTCTTGGGGTTAGCATGATAAAATGAATTGAAAGTTGTAGAAATGGGATCTTAACCACATTTCCAGGAACTACCACCACAAGTTCCTTTATCACAAATTGCCTAGGATAAGTGTAAGGTAGCAGAAACACACTGAGGGACTAGTGCTGGCTTTGTCCTTCCTTTCTAAAGAAGGAAACCTGATGATTTCACATATAACGTTGGGCAATCTAGGAAGAAGCCAGTGTGAGTCCTCACATCCCACACTTCAGGGAACATTATTTTGGTGCTGTCCTGGGCATTCATTGAACTCCTATAAATACATACCATGGGAGGCCATATGCCACTGACTAAAAGGATGGACCAGAACTTTCTCAGTTTCTTCCTCTGTGCCTCTCACACTTCAGAAGCTCAGGAAATCCCTACGGGCACCCTTGTGTGCTTCCTCAGGCTCTCCCCAGTTGGATTGGTACAGCTTCCTGTGAAACTCCCCTCCCCCATCTCCTCACATACACACCAGAAGATTCTATCTACTCTGTGGGCGTAGCTTGCCCTGATGCAGGCTTCAGGATATGGTCTCTTCCTAATCTTCCTGAGACTCATGTGCTTAATCTCCAAAATGGAGACAAGTCATTATTGATCCTCCAGGACTTCTGGCTCCACTTCCAGCATGGAAAAGGATGGGGCTTGAGTGTCCTCTACAGAACAGCATACAAATCCCCTAAGGAGTTTGCTAGATAATGCTGATAAGATTCAATCATGTGAAATGGGGCCTAAGTCTTTTCATATTTAGGGAGGTCTTGGATACCCCAGGGGTGCATGGACCACTTTGGTTGGTGAGGTGTTAGAGCCTCTAATGGGTGTTGTTTCCCTTCTTTCCCCTGTCTAGGCTACTCCAGGAAGCTCTGCACTCATTATCTCTAAAGTGTCCTCTGGCAGCAAAGCATCCTGTGATTAATGAAAAGTCATATAATGATTTTTACATCCGTTAATAGCTGAAATGGGGCTAGGAATATGGCTCTATGGGTAAACTATTTGCTATATAAGCATAAGGACCTGAATTTTGATCCCCAGCACCATGTAAAAAGTGGAACACCATAGGATACACCTGTAATTCCAATGCTGGGAAGCAGAGGCAGGAGGATCTTTGGGATATGTTGGCTAGCCAGGCTAGCCAATCAGTGAGCTCCAGTTTCTGTGAGAGACTTTGCCTCAGAAAGCAAGATGGAAAGAGTTATAAAGGAAGATATTCAACATCATCCTGCTGCTTCTTCAGATACAAAAGATTATGTAATTATTTTAATCCAAAATGGTCCATTTTTATTAATCTTTTATGTCAGAGTAAATAACAATATTATTAACTAAGCCCCAAGAGTAAGGTGATCTCCAAACTTTGAACCTGTATAAAAGGTTACCATGAAATTTCTGACATATTCCTACCCTCCCACACCAGTAACACTCCAGTGGGCTTTCAGGGAAGCAGGGAACTACCATCATTAAACAGTTACTGCATCCCAGGCTCCCTGTTAGCTGATTTCTATGTGAGTGTGAGTTACCATGTCCGGTTTACTGGAGTAGCTAAGGGTTAGAGATGAAAAGCAATTTTCCCAAGATTCTTTACTCAAAGCAAAGCCAAACAAGTACTCAAGTGCTGTGTGCCCATCTCCTACCACCCAGCATCCACCAGAGCTGATGAGCCACCTCAGAGAACATTTGCTCCTAACTGGGCCAGTCCACATGCAGGCTTTCAGTCTTGTTCAGCACAGCCTAAAATTAAGATCTTCTAAGCCAGAAGGTCTGCACTACACCGAGGGAGCCAAGTCTAGTGTCTCTTTTTCATTAGTTTACAAAATATCTTACACACACATACATACACACACACACACACACACACACACACACACACACACACACACACACACACACCAGTCTGGAACTTTTTCTAAAGCCAAATTGAGAAGTGACTCTGTAACCAGGCTCTCTGTAACCAAGCACACAGCTCTTCCTAACAAATTAGTTTGCAGTATCCTCACCTACATCATCTCTGACATAGGGTTACTGGTTTTCAAGTGGCTGTTTGGGGGCAACATTTATAAACCCCTGTGAGACTGCTCCTCTCCAGGGGCCTGCAGATTTTCCATTAAGAGCCTGCAGCTGCTTTGGGGAAGGAGGGCTGCTGAAGCTGCCCTGGGGTGGGGACCACTGGGCTGCAGCCCTCACCAAGCCCAACTTACTGGTAGGAAGACTGGTGGTTCCTGTAGAATGCCAATGCCAGTCCCATGAGGGTGAGCCCTAGCAGCTTCGCCATGGCCTGGGACAAACAGAGGGAGGGCAGACAAGTGCACTGATGGTTGGGCAATCCCGAGGCCTGCAGCAGCCCCTTGGATAGGACAGCTCCAGGACTGGCCTGGCCTGGCCCGGCCCAGGTCCGCCTCCAAGGCCACAGCTCCTGGTAGGCCAGAGTCCCACAGCTGAACTCTGCCTACAAAGTACGACACCACCACCACCACCACCCCCCACCACCCTCCGCCCCCCCCTCCATATTCCCCTTTCCCTTACTGTAAGGAGAGCTAGGCAGAACAGGTAAATGACTTGACTGATCTAGAAGGAATTAAGCAAGTTGGAGGAAGCAAAGAGCCGTGGGAAACGTGAGCCAGGAGGCTGAGCTTGCGCTCTGTGCCAAGAAAGTCTTAATCCTGTGGCTCAGAGGGGCTCAGAATTTCAGCATGATGACAGCCAAATAAAGGCACGAGAGAGACGGCTGTGGTCAGAACCCCTAAGAGGTAACGCTGTTCTCACTAAAAGCCCATGGGACAAGTCGCCCTGCAACACCTGTGTTAAAAGCACTGAAAATTCGCTCAGCACTCCACTTCTGAATTAACAGCTCTCTTAGGTACATCACTACCCTGGTCCGTTGCTCCCTTGCTTGGCTGATGTTTATTGAGTGCCAGCTATATACCAGATACTGTTCTTGATGCTAAGACAAGCAGGTCTTATGACAGGTCTCCTCAAAGCTTACAGTCCAAGAGTCAAAGAAATTAGTAGACCATCACTATGGGAGTCAGTAAAATGACTCAGCCCTTATCACCACTTGCTACCAAGCTTGACAACCTGAATATCTACCCCCAGGACCCACATGGAGAGAATTGACTCATGGAGGTTGTCTTCTGGCCCCCACATATGCACATGTACATGAGGGTAGAAGGGAAGGAGGGAGGGAGGGAGGGCGGGTTGGAGACAGGATCGAAATTATGAAAACACCACTATGACATTTCTAATGCTGAGTAGCACATATGTGTGCTGTGGATACGCACTTGTGCTGTGGGAAAAAAAAAAAATAACAGAGGAGAGGAGCACTGACAGAGAGTGAGCGGGGAGGGGCCAGAGGTGCAGGTTCTCAGTGTCCCTGCTGTTCTCTGTAGCTTCTGGGACTGTTTCTGCTTCACAGGGTCAGTCCCTCCCTCTGCTGTGGGTTTCTTCTTTCTCCAGTCATTTGGTCCCAGTTGCGCCTCTGTACTTCTGCAACATTCGTGTCTTCCCCTTTTCTGGACTGTTCCCATCAGATGCCAATATGCTTTAGTTATCATCCATAGTTTTCTGGAGAAATCTTCCACTTCATATTTCAACTATTGCCCTGTTTTTCTGCTCTCCCTGGAACATGGACTCTTAAACTTGACCTTGTCTGTGACAAATTGGACCACCTCACAGGAATGTCCATTGGAAAGGCAGAGACCTCAGGGAAGATGCCAGTTAAGGCCAGCCTTCTCACCATTTCCACTAAAGAAGAAGATATGAGTGAAGCCTCCTTCAACCTTCCAGACCAGACTAGCCACCAGAAACATGTGGTTGAGGCACCATGGCTGACACCATTTGAAACAGAACAGTCTACTTAAGAAAACAGAGAGAACAGCCTCCAAGAAAGGACAGTATTCAAAAGGAAGTGGTGATCTGTGTCCAGTGTGGTTGCAAGCTAAGCATGATTAAAGCAGAAAAGAAGGGGCTGGAGTGATGGCTCAGCAGTTAAGAGCACTGGCCTTTCTTGCAGAGGGCCCAGGTTCAGTTCTGCACATCCATAACTCCATTTCCAGGGGATCCAACACCCTCTTCTGATCTTTGCAGGCATTGCATGACATAGGTGCACTTACATACATGCAGACAATATACTCATACACATAAAATAAAAATAATAAAAAAATATTTTTTAAAAGCAGAAAAGGAGCCACTGAGTTTGAAACCATGGCTGCATTGGGTAGTTTAATTAAAGGAAATTCTGTAGCTGTGTCAAAGGAACACAAGCCATATTGGAATGGGTTAAAGAGAGACTGGAAGAGAAGACATTCCACAAATAACCATTTTCTCTGTGTATGTCTTTCTCTCTGTCTCAGCCTCTCTGTCTCTCTCTCTTTCTCTCTCTCTCTCTCTCTCTCTCTCTCTCTC